TCATCTACAAGTAGACAGCACTAACAATAACAAAAACATTATACTAGAACACATTCTAATGCTTACATGGTCACTAAACTTTTTCTTCTCCCACTATTAGAATTTTGTACAGTCTTACTATAAAGCAAACTATCAATGACTAATATCTGAATAATGCATATTATTGTTGTTGTTATGTGCTGTCAAGTCACCTGTGACTCATAGTGACCCTATGTACAACAGCTGTGAACGTGACACTATCTTGAGCCAACCTTATTGTCTCTGCCACACCTACCCCCATTACCCCAGTAACTGGGTCAATCCATCTCATCAAGCGTCTTGCTCTCTTGTGCTGACCCTCTACCCTCCCAAGAATGACATCCCTCTCCAAGGCCTGGTCCCTCCTTGCAACATGCCCTAAGTATGTCAGATGGAGCTTCAGAATCCTTGCCTCCAAGGAGCAGCCTGGTTCCACCTTCTCCAGGATGAACCAGTTTGTTCTCCTAGCATACTCTTCTCCAGCACCATAGACCAAAGGCATCAATTCTCCTTTGATCATTTCTAATCATTGTCCAGATTTCTGTTGCACAACATGTAATGGTGAAGACTATGCTTTGAACCAAGTGCACCTTAGTCTCCAGACTGACATCGCTGCTTTCTAGTACTCTGGAGAGGTCCCTGACTGCAGACTTTCCCAATGCAATTAATCTTTTGATTTCTGGGTGCTGATACCAAGAGTGTTGATCGTGGAGCCAAGCAAGCTGAGGTTGTTAGCCATCTATCCATCTATTCTGCCCAGTGGTCAGAATTTTTGTTTTCTTGGTGATAACCTTCAATCTATATAAAGAAGGTCCAGACCTTCTGCAGCAAGCACTTCAGGTCCTCCACAGTTTCAGCAAGCAGGGCTGTGTCATCTGCATAAAAAAAGTTTCCCTGAGTTTTTATTTTGCTCTCTTTAGGAATATATCCTTCCTCATAGTAGTTATAAAAAGACATCTAAAAAAAACCCCAACAGCCAAAAAGATCCCACCAAACTTTCCACACAATTCTCTAAGTAGTGTTCTATCCTCTGGTATTTCAAGAACTAGAAGCTCCAAATTTCAAGCAGGGTTAGAGTTAAGCCAGTGATTTAAACAGGTGAAAGACTCTGTGTCCCATTACTAATCCCCAAACCACCAAATGCTTTATCAGCCCGGCAATACTAGTGAGAAAGGCAACAAGCGCTGCCCCGGGTGGAACTTCATGCCCCGGTCGTGTGACCCAGAGGACACAGTGCATGACCACCAGTCAGGAGTCTTTCCAGGGACCCCTGCAAATGGCACTTGCTGCAGTTGTCTTGAATGACTAGAAGAAACAGAAAGTACATCAGCCAGATTACAGGAAAATATTACATAAGAGTTGTTGTTGTCATGTGCCATTGAGTCACTCGTGACTCATAGCAACCCTATG